AGACTCAAATAACTTTCATGGATAAAAACATAGATCTGATCATAAACTCAAAGTTCATCGGATCCGAACAAACACACCACAAAAAGAGTGACATCAAATAGATCTCCAAGAGACCATTGTATTGAGAATCAAAAGAGAGAGAGAGAGGAAGCCATCTAGCTACTAACTACGGACCCGTAGGTCTACAATGAACTACTCACGCATCATCAGAGAGGCACCAATGAGGATGATGAACCCCTCTGTGATGGTGTCTAGATTGGATCTGTGGTTTCTGGAACTTGCGGCGCCTGGAATTGATTTTCGTCGACTCCCCTAGGGTTTCTAGAATATTAGGGTATTTATAGAGCAAAGAGGCGACGCGGGAGGCCACCGAGGTGGGCACAACCCATCTAGGAACGCATGGGGTTGTGCTTCCCTTGGAGCCCCCCTCAGGTACATCTTTGGCCCAACAGGTGTCTTCTGGTCCAGAAAAAATCTCCAAAAAGTTTCGCTGCATTTGGACTCCGTTTGGTATTGATTTTCTGCGAAGTAAAAAACAAGCAAAAAACACCAACTGGCACTGGGCACTATGTCAATAAGTTAGTCCCAAAAAATGATATAAAGTTGCTACAAAATGATTGTAAAACATCCAAGAATGATAATATAACAACATGGAACAATCAAAAATTATAGATACGTTGGAGACGTATCACCCCTCAGGTAGTTATTTGGTCCAGTATTTTTCATATATTCAAAAATAATTCTCCGTGAAGTTTCAACTTATTTGGAGTTGTACAGAATAGGTATCTCTGACGTAGCTTTTTCAGGTCCAGAATTCCAGCTGCCGGTATTCTCCCTCTTTGTGTAAACCTTGCATATTATGATAGAAAATGCATTAGAATTACCACATAAAGCATTATTATGCATAAAAACATTATAAATAATAGTAGGAAATCATGATGCAAAATGGACGTATCAGTGATTAGTGTTCCTCTTGGACGGTAATCACTTTTCCGTGGCGCTGGCTCCTACAAATAACAAAGCAACTCAAGTTAGATTAAGTACTTATGTGCATAATAAACAAAAGAAGTAAAGGTTGAAATTCACCTTTTTGTTAAAGGGCCAAATGCTTACCTTCCCATCAAAAATGCAAATAGCTTCTGCATTATATCTAGGCCTTGGCTATAGCAACCATAAACATGGTTTTGTCAATGGAGTTCTTATTTTGCACGGTCCTATGTGTGTCTTCTTCTGATGGAAGCTTGTAGAATTTCATGGTCTTCTGAGTGGTGTTAAACCACTTTTCATCTATATGGATTATGTTTTGCATATCCTTGAACGTGCACCTTTTTTCAAACTTTGCTGGTCAAACATAGAGAGACAAAACTGCAGCCTAGCCATTTTGTTTGCTTCCTTCAAGTATGGTTTGAGTGAGCTTGAATGCCTATCGAGTGAGCCGTCTGTAAACATCCTATGCAGTGTGCTTTTCTTCACACCCAAAGCCCTTGTGAGGTTGCGTATAGTTCTCCTTTGACTCCAAGGAATCTCAACAACCATATTGAGGTCAACTACAATCCTTTTGCGCCCACTGTTTTTCGGCTTCCTCGATCTTACATCAACGAGTACGCCTTGTCGAAGACACTCCTTCGCTCTCCTCCAAACACATTTGACCTTGTGCATTGAAACATGGAACATGTTTGCAACTTCTCTAGTTGTGGTCTTCTTTAATTTATTATTGACACTTCTTGCTGGCAATTCTTAATAAATAACAGTCATTTGCAAATCTTTAAATTCTTGTATTTGTCTTTATCATGAACTTGCTCATTATCTTGTTGCTCTTGCTCCACATGCATGTCTTCTTCTGGTGTGAATCATACATGGCTTCATGTGGTTCTAAATCATTAAGCTCTTCTTCCTCAAACTCAATCTCTATGTCGCCTACATATATACCATAGTTCTCCTGGTCAACTTGAAGGTTATGCAGAGCTTCATTCATTGCTTTCACTTCCTCTTCTATGCTTTGGAAAGCACCACCTTGGTCTTCAAGTTCATCGTCTACAAGATCACAATTAGCTACTGTATGCAAAAGAATTAAACAATAAGAGTTGAACACATCAACAAAAAGTACTTGGGTCCATGTCTAGATCAAAGTGATGTTCATGCTGGAGTTCTTCATGCAAAGCAGCTTCAAGTTCATCCTCTACAAGGTGAGATTTTGTGAGTAGTTGGGTAAGATTGTAATTGAACATTCAAATATGCTATTACTAAATTATTTACTAACCTGATTCATTCGATTCATGCAGATCCTCCTCTCCATGGGCAACATCGGGCTAATGTTCATCTTCTACCTCAAGGCACCATCATGATTAGCTACTGTATGCAAATAAATTGAACAAGAAGAATTGAACAGATCAGAAAAGAGTACATAGGTCCATATTTAGATCAAAGTGATGTTCAGGCTGGAGTTCATCATGCAAGGCAACTTCATCTTCTTCCTGTACAGTTTGCTCATGCAAGGAAACTTTGAGTTCTTCCTCATCTGGTGGTGCTATGTTCAAGTCCATGGCCATGGATAGTGTGTGTGGTGTACTGTTTGCTTCATGTGAGCTGCCTTTTGTAGCTGGGTTAGACGCTTGGGTTCAAATTCTTAAACATGGCGCCTCTTCTAATTTCTCTGGTGCCAAGTACTATTGTTATTTTAGTAGTTTAAATGGCAGGAACAGTGAAAGTGGAGCTAAACTCTCGGGCGCCAGGTACTTTCTGGTGTTTGGATTGCTTTTTTGCTTTGTGTTGGTATTAACTATACACTTGAAATTGAAGCAACACCACAGCTGCTTTTTTTTATCGGCAACACCACAGCTGCTAGTAGCTTAAATGAGGGTGGAAGGTGACTTCTGCAAAATTTGTTAATTTGTCTTGAAATACCTAGACGCACACTTTCTAGCAGACGGAGGGAGTAATCCTTATGCAGGAGATGAAACGGTACATCCTGATATGCTCTTAATATGTATTAATGAAATTTGTGGATTGAGTTAAAAAGAAGGTATTCCCTTTATCTTTGGAGGAAAAGATATTGACATGGTATAGTCTATTGTATTATATACATCGTGGTTTCTTCTAAGGCCCCTCCCAATGCTCCACCTTGTATAGTAGGTGCTAAGGCTGCCATGTAGGCAAAAAATCAGATGTGTCAAGGTAATTAAGAGGAGAGAGATGAGTGTGATGACCCCAGGAAGAAACAATGCCAAGCACAAGAATCTAGGCAAAACACTTAAATGGAAGAAGCCCACTAATGCACGGAGAACTTTAGTTGCAAAATCATTAAATGAGAGATGTTTAGCACCAACAAGTTAGGCCATGTTTGGTTCCAAATAAGTCACCAACTTATAAGTCGAAAAGTGAAAAAAAATGACTTATTTTACCAAATAGACCCAACTTATACGTCACCCCAACTTATAAGTCATAAGTGGCTTCATCCCAACTTAAAATTTATAAGTCACCCCTTTTGCGTGGGTCCCATCACCATTACATAAAAAACAAGATAAAAAGGTGTGATCAGATGACTTATAAGTCAGATGACAACCAAATGGGCATAACTTATAAATCGCTGATTTTAAGTCACCTGACTTATAAGTCAGGTGACTTATTGGAACCAAACAGACCCTTAGGCTAGTCATGATGGGAGTAACTTAGCAAGTAACATACCGCAGTTCAAGACAAGTTTGCTTATGTGACATTTATTTAATGAGGAGAGATGTGTTTAGAGTAACATAATATGTTATTGTAACATAGCATTTTTCAAGAAAAGATGAGTCTACAAGTTAATAAATGAAGCCATCTATGACACTACTATTATGTTACTTTGCACTATGAAGATAGTAACTTAAACTAGTGTCATATGCATGACACTAGTATAAGTTACTCCCCACTATGACTAGTCTTAAGCACCTTGCATTGGAGGCTTTAATTGCTAAAGTTTTAATGTGCTTAGCCCCCGATGCGTTAAGGTAGCCTAATGAAAATTGAAGAGGGGGCTCTCTCTTTTTAAAACTAGTGTTAAAAAAGTGTCTCACATTTTGAGACAGGCAGTAGTATATTTTAGTACTTCTAGTTTATTTATTTCAAGTTTGCAAGGACGCATGTACTTCATTTCGTCTGCGAGTGAGAAACCTGTCAAAGCCGCCCCCAATCATAGTGATCGGCCTTTCCCAGTAAAACCTCCCAAGCTGCCCAATCGTCGTGATCGGGCCAGGTCCCCTCCGCATTGAAGGCGCAGGGAGAGTTTCGTCTTCTACACCCACGCGCTCTAAGGTTGGTTGTAATGGGGAGTATCATATACTAGTATCATGCATATGATACTAGTGTATGATACTACCTCTCTAATGCATAATATCATATATTAGTATCATGTAGTACTCTATTTATTGTCATGCATGACACAAAGTAGTATAACATTTATTATGATACGGTATCATGATATGATACTCCACCCTCTCTTTCTTCATTTAATGCTATGTCACCTCATTAAAATTGCCTAGTTGACATGCATGATACTATCTATAATACTACCATTACGACCAGCCTAATAAAAATAAAAATAAAAGCATGTACAATGGTTCTATCTTAAGAGTGTCACGTAGGATAAATGATGAGGTGGAGGAGAGAGAAACCATAAGAGAAGGCTTGTCTTATCTTATTTAAGAGAAGACAAAAGATGATTTCTTAGCATAATTTGTCTCACTATGTTTTTAGAAACAATTAATTATTAAAAATAAAGCTAAGAGATAATTCATTGTAGACATATTTTTTTGTCATCTATAATTTATATGCAAAACTTAAAATAAAATTGTCTTATTAACCATTGTTCGTGCCAAAGGAAATCCGTTCGCACTCCACGCTCCTCTATTCTCGCGCGCCTCCTGCTCTCCCTCTCCTCGCCCCAAACAAAACCACCAACCAACCACTGCGGCCCGGACTCGCTCCGCCGCTGCTCTGCTCCCCGGGGCCGGGGGACCCGACCGATGGAGTTCTCTCGCCGCGGTCGAGCCACCGACGACGCCGGCGACGCCCACCGCTTCCCCGACCCCCCGTCGCACGGTACGCGTCGAGCCACTCTAAACATCCGCCCTTGTCCCTCTGGTCGTTTCTTCCCTGTCAAATATTAACTGCAAATGAAGTAATCGCAGAACCATTTTGCTCTCAGTTCTCTCATGTGTTCAGATGCTTGCAACTACTGTTGTGATTCCGCGCCAAGAACTCCAATATCTGCGCCGCCGCTATGCGCTGGTTTTTTAGGAATCGAAAATAAGGCCGCAGTTTCTTTCGTGTGCTACTAGTAGATTGGAGTTTGTTACGATTTGGATTCGCTCGCTCGTTTGTTTCTCGAAAGGAGTTTCGGATCTGTCTGCGGGGGCAGAAGATACCAGAATCGGAGAACAACCCGCGCATCACAACCTTCATCTTTGCCGTCGAGAAATCTCGCAAACATGCCCCCTCTTCCATGGACAGACCTAACCTAAGTCCATCCTAGCATAACATTATCCACCTTGCTATTTCAAATCACATGCAGATTTTTCTTTTTCTCCCTTAATACTCCGATTTGGAATTTTTGTTCACGAGGAGTTGGAATTTTGGTCACGCCGACCATCTAATTAATTGCTGCGCAATGCCCTGGTGCAGGGGAGGAGGAGCCGATGACGGTGATGAGGGCTGCGCTGCTCTCGCAGCTCCACATGGACCGCCTTCGCCAGGAGATCATCGTGGCCGAGCTGGCCAAGATGGAGCGCGCGGCCGTGGCGCCATTGGATGGCGTGGCCGCAGCAGATGCTGGGCGGCCTAGGCCGTGCCCGCTCAGTGCCGAGCAGCTCATGGCCCTGCGCGCCGCCACGCCGATGCCATTGCTTGGCCTGGCCGCCACAGATGCTGGACGGTATGGGCTTTTGCCATTCGGTGCCGAGCAGCCCATGGCCCTGCGCGCTTCTGCCGGTGGGCAACAGACTACATCGATGCCATTGCACAGTGTGGCCGCCGCGGATGCTGGACGGTCTACGCCGTGGCCGTTCAGTGACGAGCAGCCTATGACCCTGCGCCTGCGCGCCATGCCCGGTGGCCACCAGACCCCGCTGATGCCATGGTGCGGCGTGGCCACCACAGATGATGGACGGTCTAAGCCGTGGCCGTTAAGCACCGAGCAGCACATGGCCCTGCGCGCTGCCGCCGATAGCAACCAGGCCACTCCGATGCCGATGTATTGCGCGGCTGCCGCAGGTGATGGACGGTCTAAGCCATGTCCATTCAGTGCAGAGCAGCCCATGGCCCTGCTTGCTGCGGCCGGTGGCCACCAGACCACCCCGATGTCATTGCACGGCGTGGCCGTCGCAGATGCTGGGCCGTCTAAGTCGTGGCCTTTCACTGCCGAGCAGCAGCCCATGGCCCTGCTTGCTGCTGCCGTTGGCCACCTGCAGACCACCCCGATGTCACTGCACGGCATGGCCGCCGCAGATGCTGGACCTTCTAAGCCGTCGCCGTTCAGTGTCCAGCGGCTCATGTCCCTGCGCGCTCCGGCTGGTGGCCACCAGGCCACGCTGATGCCATTGCATGGTGCCGATGCCGCAGATGCTGGATGGTCTAAGCCGTTGCCGTTCAGCGCCGAGCAGCCCATGGCCCTGCTTGATGCGGCCGGTGGCCACCAGACCACCCCGATGTCTTTGCACGGCGTGGCCGCCGCAGATGCTGGATCGTCTAAGCCGTGGTCGTCCACTTCCGAGCAGCTCCTGGCCCAGCGCGCCGCCGCTGGTGGCCACCAGGCCACGCCAATGCCATTGCACCGTGTCGATGCCGCAGATGCTGGATGGTCTACGCCGTTGCCGTTCAGTGCCAAGCAGCCCATGGCCCCGCGCTCTGCGGCTGGTGACCACCAGGCCACGCCGATGCCATTGCATGGAGCGGCGGCGGTGGCAGATGCTGGACGGTGTAAGCCGTGTCTGTTAAGCGCCGAGAAGCTCATGTCTCTACAGAATGCAGAGTTTGATGAGCACAAACTGCCTGACTCCAATAAGGTGAGAACAGCTTGTGAGATTTGAACTGCATCTGTTGTGTCTTGACTATTGACATTTTATAATACTGTTTCAGAATTATGATTCTACAAACCAAAATCAATCAAACTCCTTGCGCGACAAAAACTTCCTATCTTGTGATGACAAATTACTTGGGTATTGTAGGATTTGTACATGGAACATAGGAGTACTAATAGGAGCGAGTTTACTTTCCATGTTTTTCTGCATCCAACTCCTTACCAAGTTTGCTCTCCTTGCTTTCAAAGGTTCATTTACTAACGATCTTGGTTAAATTATCAAACAGGCTGTTCCGCCAAGTAAGACGTCGCTTGCGGAGAAGTCGGAACTAACAGGAATAACCATTCCAGTTAAGAAGCTCAAACCACCCAAGAAATGGAACTGCACCGTCTGCCAGGTGCAAGCGACCTGTGAGAAGAACCTACAGATGCATTATGCTGGGCAGAAGCACTTGGCAAATGTAGCAACACTGGGCCCAGGAACCAAGCCAAGTGATCAGAAGGCGAAAGCAGGAGCAGCAGAACCTTCTCTTGGCACAGAACAGAGGAAAACATCCTCGATAAACTGGAGTTGCAGTACCTGCCAGGCCCGCGGCACATCCAAATCGACATTTGATGCGCACCTCCAAGGCAAAAGACACCAGCAGAACATTGCGGAAGCATCCGTAAAAGGCGATGGCGATGGCGCACCGAAGAACGCCGCAGTGGCGGGGGAAGCAAAATCGGATGGCATCACCGTGCCGAAGCCTTCAGAGAAGCCATCACGGGTCTGGAGCTGTGGCATTTGCCAAACTACATGCACCTGCGAAACAGACTTGAAGAACCACCTGAAGGGCGCCAGACACCGAGAAAAGGTCCAGTCCCTGCTTGAAGAAAGCAAGAACGTGACAAGGAATCCTGAGACAAACTTGAAGAAAAACAATGCACCACAAATGGTCAAGAACCAAGGACCACACCCGGCATGGAACTGCACGATGTGCCAGGCCAAATGTTTCTCCAAATCTCAGTTTGAGAATCATTGCAGTGGCAGCAGGCACCAGCAGAATATCGAGGCGATACTCGGCAAACGCGAGACCGCGAAAGTGAGCAGCTCGAGGACCGCAAATGAACCAGCTTCGGATGGCTCCAGCGGCAAGAATGCAAGCTCGAAGAAGGCGGAGAAGAAAGCGATGTTGTACTTCTGCGAGGTCTGCAATTTGCTGTGTGGCAGCAGTGAGATGCTGGTAAGCCATCGTTATGGGAAGAGACACCGGGAAAAGCTCAGCGCAGGGAAATGAAGTGCGTTTGTGGGTCTGCAAAGGAATTGTGGCTTTTGTAGGGAAAGATGCGAAGCACGATTCTGGCTCTGCATGTAGCCCTGTACTGCTCTGCACTTGAATTATGTGATGGCTTTGTAGGAACTGGGTTCAATCTCACCTGTTTTCATTTGCGAATTGTATTTCGTTTCGGGCCCAACTTTAAACAAACTGGGCTGCTTGTTGCTCGACTGCATGGGTCAGCTTTCTATGGTTAGCACTTCTTTTAAACTCGGAGAAGTAATATCTCTCTTTTAAACTCAGAGTATAAGTTATGCGTGTATTTCTAGATCATCAACTTTACCGACCAAATATACCATCCGTTCTTAAATATAAGTCTTTTAAGAGATTTCAATATAAACTACATACAGAGCACAATGAGTGAATCTACACTCTGAAGTAGGTCTATATACATTCGTATGTAGTTTGTATGAAAATCTCTAAAATGACTTATATTTAGGAACGGATGGAGTATTAAATAAATATTGTATTTGAATTCATGTTTGAATGCTCCCTTTTTTCAAACATACAGGTCAGACTGATTTTCTTAAATTTGACGAAAGTCTATCTATTAAGAAAAATATGTACATGTGTAATACAAATTAGACTCTGACACTTATTTTTATATTACATTTATTTTGTAATATTAATAATAGCATATTTTTCTATTAATTTGGTTAAACTTTGTGAAGTTTGATTTTTGGAAAAAAGTCAATATGTATTATATATTTTAAAAATAGATGGAAGTACTTCATTTGTCCCAAAATAAGCGACGTGGTTTGAAGTAAAACCATGCCACTTATATGGGGACGTGGGAGTGCTTTTTTTGACATATCAATTATATTTTATTTAGGAACCTTCAAGTCTCTCTTTCCTGCTCTACAAGAAAAGTTTTTCTCCTCCCGTCGGTGCCGCCGTATGTCCGTCCCATCTCCGATGGCCTCTAGGCCATGGAGGTGTGGAGGGTCTCGGCCCCTCGTTGGCGGGAGGGACCCATTTTCATTCTTGTTAAAATCAACGTCTTGGTTGGGGCTGTGTGGCGGCTGCGATGTCCCTTAGTACGAATAATGTCTTCCACCTTCTATCCCCGTCCTGATGGTGCATCTAGCATCGTCGAAGGGTGTGTGGAGGTTTGTCTCCGTCGGATCTTGTGGGATTCGGTTGGTGCTGGTCTTCGGTGGATCTATTTCGATCTGGTCTTCGTTCGTTTTTGTTTAGGTGTTTACAGGTTTAACCCTTCTGATCTATGATTTTCTTCATCGGCGATGGTTGCTACTCTGGTGCGTTGGTCCTATCGAACCTTAGCACGATGACTTTCTGATTGTCTACTACAACAAGGTTTACCCGGCTCCGGTGAGGAAGGGGTGATGACGGCGGCGCGCCTTTGCCTCGCTCCAATGCTTGTAGTTGTTGTTAGGTGGTCCACGAACATGGTTGTAATTTTTATTACCTCTATTGTTCTTCGTGTTGCCATGATTGAAAATGAATAGTGATAGTTTCTCGAAAAAAAATTATATTTTGCTTACCAAACTAATGATCTAGAAATACATGTGTGTCTAATAAACCTCAAATAGAGGGGGCACAAACAATCATTCTTTCTGCTCCTGCTTCCCAACTTAAGCGACGGGTAGTGGCAGCTAATCTACCCTACCAAGACAACACTGTGAGCCCCCTTCCCGCTAGTTCATCCCTTCGGCTACAAGAAGGGGCGAGGACCACAGGGCTTCGGTCCAATGGTGGTAGGGTTAGGAACAAATTTAGGATTCATCTTCATTTAGCGGTGGCGAGATGGATCATGTTGCCGTCGACATGACATGACATAATATGTTGGAATTTTTCTAGTAGGCCTTTGGCCCAAAGCCCAACTAAAATTCTGAAATTTTCTTGGCTCATTCATACATACATGTGAGTGGAGTGAGTGAAGCTAAAGTTTAGTTCCATCCCGGAAGTTGAAAGAGAGTTGCACCTCTTTATAAGGTGAGCTCTTCTACCACTTATATGAGCATGAAAAGAGAAGACCTACACGCGCGCTCCTCCTTGCTCGCCTCGTCACGACGCGTCGCGCCGCGCCGCGGGTTGCGGGATTGAGCCGAGCCAAGGACAGAGCTATGCACGTTGTCTATATTTTTGCTGCACGGGAAAAATTAATGAGTCATTAATTAATAATTAACGGACGCGTTAATTACTGAACCGTTTCCGATTTTTTTTGGATCGTGACGACTCGGACGTGGGGTTTACTCTCACGACCTACCCGACCCGCACTATATAGTCAGGCAGACGTCTACCTAGCCGCCGCCGCTTCGTATGGTTTCTCACCACCGTTCCAGATCATTGCGCCGCCAAGCAAGTCTTCTCCATCCCTTCTTCCGGCGTGCACCGCGAGAAAAGGACAGCAGGCCTCCGAAACCCCGCCTCTCGAGATCCTGTACGGGAGAGGGGCGATCAGGTTTTTGGGGAGCGCACTCGCGCGACTGCTGGCAGTGACGACTTCGCGAACGACGACTTCTTTCCCAACCTCGACAACCTCATCCTCAACGACATGGGCGACAACGTCAACGCCGGCAGTGCTGCACCCGCTGCACCGTATGTGATTCTATCCTTCCTGTTCGAGATCGTGGTAGAATTCATGTTTCTAGTATGTGCCCTAGATGTGATATGTTCATCTGCTATACTAGTTCGCATGATTAGTTTAATCTCTGCTGCTATGGTCATGATTTATCTTCTGTTTATTTGGATTAAATCTCGTAGTAATTTGCTCATATTTCCAACAATCCAAAAACCTGATTATAGGCAATTTACTCTGAGTGGTTTTGCTGCGCATCTGAAGCCGCCTGCCTTTAAGGGGGCGCAATATAAGAGGTGGCGCACGAGAACAGTCTACTGGTTTTAAACCATGGGCTGGTATGATGCCACCAAGGGCAAGCCTGAGGGCGATCTTAATCCAGCATAGCTGGAAGCTTTTGAGAAGATCGATACCGTCTTTAAAGGCGCTCTTTTGAGTGTTCTTGATGACTCCATTGTGAATTCGTATATGTCGTTTGACAACGGCAAGGACATGTGGGCTGCGCTCGAGGCCAAGTTTGGTGCCTCGGACGCCGGCAGCGAGTTGTACGTCATGGAGCAATTCTATGACTACAAGATGACTGATGAGCGCCCTGTTGTACAGCAGGCTCATGAGATACAGCCGCTCGCAAAAGAACTTGAGTATTTCAAGTGTGTGTTGCCGGACAAATTTGTTGCCGGAGGCATCATTTCCAAGCTTCCACCTTCGTGGAACAATTTTGCTACTTCCCTGAAACACAAGAGACATGCGTTTTCCGTTACGGATCTCATTGGTACTCTTGATGTTGAAGAGAAGGCGAGAGCAAAGGACACACGTGCTCGAGTTGCTGAGGGAGGTTCTAGTGCCCACATGGTACAGAAGAAGAACTCCCAGCCCAACAAGTTCAAAAACAATAAAACAAAACTCAAGGCAAAGGCAAGTTTGATACAAAGAACAAGCCATCACATTCTACCAACTTCAAGAAGAATTCTCATAAGAAGGGGAAGGGGCTTTGCCATGTCTGCGCTGATCCTAATCACTAGGCTCTGAAGTGTCCTAACCGCTTTGAGGAGCGCGAACATGAGAAGAGCGGCAAGTCCGCTAATGTTGTCATCGGTGATACTGATATGAAGGAATCAGGGTACGGTATTTTTCCTACCATCCTTTCAGTATTTCAATCCCCTGATTGGTTAATTGACACCGGTGCCGATGTACATGTTTGTGCTGACGCCTCCATGTTTTCTTCTTACCAGGCAACAGGGACTTCACCCGTGCTGATGGGGAACGGGTCACATGCATCGTTCGAGGTGTTGGTACGGTCGATCTGAAGTTTACTTCGGGGAAGACTGTGCGTCTGAAGAACGTTCATCATGTGTCGTCCATCAATAAAAATCTCGTTAGCGGTTCCTGTTTATGTCGAGATGGTTTTAAGTTGGTTTTCAAATCCAATAAAGTTGTAATTTCTAAGTGTGGACAATTTGTTGGAAAAGGCTATGAGTGCGGAGGCTTGTTCCGCTTATCTTTGTCAGATATTTGCACTAAAGTTATTAATAATGTTTGCCACAATAATGAGTCTGATACTTGGCATTCACGACTTTGTCATATTAACTTTGGTTGCATGACGCGGCTAGCCAATATGAATTTAATTCCAAAAATCTCCACTGTCAAAGGCTCTAAGTGCCAAGTATGTGTGCAAGCTAAGCAACCTCGCAAGTCCCATAAGACTGCAGAGGCAAGAGACTTGGCGCCACTAGAGCTTATACATTCTGATCTTTGTGAGATGAATGGCGTGTTGACAAAAGGTGGAAAGAGATACTTTATGACGTTGATTGATGACTCCACTAGATATTGTTATGTGTATCTTCTGAAATCAAAAGATGAGGCTTTGACTTTCTTTAAAAACTATAAAGGTGAGGCAGAGAACCAACTTGATCGGAAAATTAAACGGCTTAGGTCCGATCGTGGTGGAGAGTATTTTTCCAATGAATTTGATCTGTTTTGTGCGGAACATGGTATAATCCATGAGAGGACGCCTCCCTACTCACCCCAGTCAAATGGGGTAGCCGAAAAAAAGAATCAAACTCTAACTGATATAGTTAACACCATGTTAGACACTTCGGGTCTATCCAAGGAATGGTGGGGTGAGGCGCTAATGACTGCGTGTAATGTTCTAAACCGAGTTCCCACAAAGCATAAGACCATGACTCCATTTGAGGAATGGGAAAGGAAAATGTTGAAACTCTCTTACCTACGTACTTGAGGTTGTTTGGCGAAAGTCAATATACCAATTTCGAAGAAGCGCAAGTTTGGACCAAAAACCGTGGATTGTGTTCTTCTGGGCTATGCTTTTCATAGCATCGGCTATAGATTTTTGATAATAAAATCTGAGGTATGCGACATGCATGTTGGTACGATTATGGAATCAAATGATGCAACTTTC